TATATATATATATATATATGTATATATATATATTTATATTAAACGGTGATATCTCCTCTTTGTCCAATATATTAATTAAGTATGATATGTTTATTCACAACTTGATGTGAGCGCTTAAAAAGAGTGAGAAAGAGCGAGAAAGAGATAGAGCGATAAAGATTGCAAATCTTTCCTTCCTTCCTTCCTTCATTCCTCTAATATCGCAAGGACAGCATCTTCGATTCCTCTTTCACCTTGAGTGATAGCGGATAATTAAGCCGGGTTAACGTCATTTACTTTTAAGTTTACGCCCGGCACGCAGATAATTCCAGTGATATCTATATTGATAAACTTCGTTTTTTTTTTTTTTTTAATTCTCTCTTAACCCATACTTCACGAATGAGTATTTCGATGCATTCGCACACATATACATACACATACGGCACACACACGCGTGTGTACTAACCCATACACGCTCGCATATATATATATATATATACACATATATATATATATATATATGATTATATATATCGTTATGTATTATTACGCTAGTCATTGTCAGAGAGTTATTAGTGTTTTAAAGTTTGAAAGAGCTGGTCGCGCGCTCGCGTCTCGAAATCGTTCCGCGTGGAACCGCGATTCTCAGGTAAAGATGTTTTTTGGACGTCAATGTGTGTGTACACACACACACATATATATATATATTTATTTACGTGAATGTGTGCGTTCCCGTGTGCCCCGGAACGTTTCGCTTGTAGATTTTCGTTACGAGCTGAGTACAGAGTTTTGTTACTTGTTTTGTGTGATATAATTTAAGGAACTTTGATCAGAACCGCGTTGAGTCCCGGTTTTTCTCGCGTGCTTCCACTTGAAACGGAATTCTGAAAAGCGCATCATCGCGACATTATTACATACACACATACACACATATGTATATCTACACATACGTATACATATATATATGTACGTCCGTATGTATATCGGGGGATATAATTTGCTATTCTACTTGTCGAGTAATAAAAATAGAGATTGCATAGATTGAGATTCGTAGCGAATGCACCTATAAGGAAATATACGTCCTATAAAGATTTTCTCTCTCCAGCCTTATAACGTGAAATTTATATGTATATATATATATATATATACATATACATACAAATATATATATATATACACACATAACTTCTTCGCGCTTACGTACAAATTTAATTGCATGCACAAGCACGCGGCTGCTACACGAGCGACGTGCTCAAATTGTACGTGCGCGTTTGTTTTATGCGGCCTTGAGTTAATCATCATTGTTTCAGCGTCGCGAAAAAAACAGAGATCGAAAAACCGCTGAAGCGGCAAGTTCAAAGTTCGACGTTGAAGATGCAAGAAAATAAATATCTTGTTGAAAAAATTAAACTAAAGCTCTTATGTAACATTTGCTTCTTAATCTTTTTTGTTTTGTTGTTTTGTTTTCTTGAAGCGCCATGGTAATGTTGGTCGGTTAGAGAAAATTCTTTACGTTTTTTTTTTTTTTTTTTTTGGAAAATATTTGTGTGACTTTTTCTTCTGCATATTTGCAGCATCGAAATCTGAACTTAGCGCGATCACACCGGCTCGAATTCCCGCGCGCGAACAGACACAAACGTGTGTTTGAGAACGCTTAGTACGGGGGAGAAACACCTTGTAATCTTAACTTTCTGATATGTCCGTTGAGTATAGTTTGGTGTTCCGATGCTACCATCTGGACGATTGCCATTTTTACTAAGAAGCCACTCGAACGAGTACAACGCGCTTTATATCTATCGTTTAAGTCTTAGACAATAGTCGAAGAAAAAGAAAACGACAAGATCTTGAGCACGAACGGACGTCCATGACTCGATTACGTTTTTTGTGCTTGTCTTATCGCGACTTTGTTGTGACGTCAGCAAAAAAAAAAACAACAGTCATCCGTCACTTGATCACGCAGTGGCAAAGCGATGCGTAAGATCGTTTTTTTTCTCGACAATTGAGTATTTTGTAAATGTACGCTCGCTCGGAAATACGTGTGATATATTGCTTGACGAACGGCACAAAGCCGTTTTCGCTGAATTTGAGCAAATTGCGTCTGCGAACTTTTTCTCTGAGCTCGCATTCGTCGAAGTTGCTATTGCTCGCGCCGCTTTTTCAAAAGGATTGATCTCTTCCTCTCCTCAAATTATCTTCCGTTGTTATTCGAAGTATCTTGAAATGAGATGTACTTTATATAAAGATCGCTGTCGAAAATTTAGATCGCTATTTTAATGTCACTCTGCTCAGATAATCGACACACTAGTGTGTGTGTGTGTGTGTGTCGCTATAATTTTTTCTTTTTTTAGATAATCTTTTGGACGAAAAATGATGTTTTATTTTTAGTTCCGCTGTTCTTTTTTTGAGCGATCAAGATACCTCGTGACAAATTAGCGAATCTTGTAGCTAACGATATATTAACGTTAACGTTATCATCGTCTTCTCATTCTTTTCTTTCGAATCTTGTTGAGCACAAGAGACGGTATTCGGATACCTTTCATTCTTCGTTCAGTTTCAGATCTCATAATCTCGTAACAGCTGTGTGTGTCGCTACCAATAAGTGAAAACGAACGATACTAGATATGCGGAGAGCGATCTCCGCGCGCTGGGCGACTCGATTTCTTCGTGGCACACCATTGCGATGTTGTGATGTCACATTATCTCGTTGTACCTTCAGAGGCTGCTGAACAAACATTTATACGCTACATTCAGGACCATAAAACTAGGTCATTCAAACAAAATTATATATAAATAATATCTCATTTAATCAAAATATCTTAAAATAGAAAAATAGAATACATTTGTATGAATAAAACCGGAACAAATGCTTTTTTTTCTCAGCAAAAAATAAAGGAAAAAAATATATAATAAAATCGTGAAATATAAATTTCGTTCTATATCATATTGATATTCGCGCATAAACACTCTTTTGAAGCGTTTACTTTACGTCCTGTCGTCAGTGATTATTAACCCAACTATGTAAACAGTACAGAGAATTCATTACGAAACTACTCTTTCATGTCGTATATTTCATATAGCGCTACCCGTTTCATCCTATTTCTGAAAGCGAATGCTTCAACAGCAAACGTAAACAAATATTTTTATTTCACAAAAAAAAACTAAAAGTTATTTTCTGTTTTTCTTTTTTTTTTTTTTACTTGTAAGTGTGCACGCGCGCGCATAAAAAATGTGCGGTTTAATTAATTAATTTTGTCAAAGGTTACCTCTTCATTGCAAGTCTTCCTCGCATTTAGGAATGTCGAAGATCTCGGCAAACAACGGCGGCAGTTTGAGCTTCGTCCAATTCCTGCGGAACCAATCGAGCAGACTGGCATGTCTAGCGCCCAGCGCTCTGAGTTCGGGTATCCTCTGCGAGATGTTGGCGATCGTGGTGACCGAACCGCTGGCACCTTCACCGGAAGGTCGCGCCGTCTGCACTCTCAACGCTTCTAGAACACGATCCTGCAGTCTCTGCACAGCCTTGACGTCGTTCAGGCCTGGTCGCTCGCTCAGCAACACCGCCGCCGAGAACAAGCCCAGCTCGGTGTCCGTCAGTTGGTGGGCGTTCAATGACGACGTAACTTGCATCAACGCGGACACGAAGTCGGGCTGTCAATCGCGAATAAAAGGAGAATCAATCATGTATACATGTATACGTGTAGCATTGTGATAAAAAGATAAAACCCGCTTATAAAACCAGTCAAGAACCGTTTTAAAGGTTGTTAAACTCTACACACATTTGTATCAAACAAATTAAAATTAGTAATAACTGTTGTTACAATACAAAAGTATTAATTTATTACATTAATTAATAACTTTAAAATAGAAATATATATTATATTGTTAATATTTTCCTATAATATATACATATATTTCTTGATATATATAAAAAAATAATAGTTAACAGATTTTTGACTACTTATAAGAGAAAAAGACATTTCCAGTCTTACCTCGTACATGAGTTCCAACTGCTGTCGAGTAAAATAGGTGCCGTCCTCAAAAGTCATCGAGTTATCGGTGGTCATCTTGGAAATGTGGCAAAGCCATACCTCGAAGAAACCGACTTTAATCAAGATTAGCTGGTCGTCTTGCGAGAGCTCGCAGAATCCGGGCATTCGTTTCGCAAATTCTACCACCCTCTGAACCGACGGTGTCACCCTTGTGGCGAACTGCTGCCACAACCAGATTCTCTGCGACTCAACAGTTTCCGCGGTCGAGGACGCCGCTTCTGGATCCTCTGGGCTGGCAGGCTGCGAAGAATTACTCGCCTAATCAGCAAGATTACAAACAGACCTGCGAGTTTGCTGCCACTTCCAGTGGAAAGTTATTGAACTCTAATGAATAATTAAGCAATCTCACTTTGTACTAAACAAAATTTATCAAAAAGAATCTGGTTTGTGTCTAAGAAAATATTTATCGAAAACAGCTAAAAAAATATTACAAAATAGTTTATATATTTTATATACCCCCAAACACTTTAAATTAAGAAATATAACATTTAATTAATATAAATATTCTTTATATCAACTGATTCAAGTTGAAAATAATTTAAGTAGTGACACAAATTAGTTCTGTCTTTCTTTTAATGGCTCACCGGTATTATCATGGGTTTTCTTGTGAGGCCTCTGGTAGATTCTTCCGTGAAGCCGCAGTGAGCGTGATGCGCCTGCGACACCTGATGAATCACGTCGTAAACGGCCAGCTGTTTCACGTCAGCGTCCGATTGATCTGCCTCGACCACCGTCGCGGATGGTACCCGCGTTGAGATCGCGTTCTGGCTCTGGGTGTTGTTGTTATTGTTGTTATTGTTGTTGTTATTGTTGTTGTTGTTGTTCTTGTTGTTGGCGTTGTTGTTGCCTGTGTCGGGTGTGTTCAGTTGCTGCATTTCCATGGTGGCCATCGTTGTCGTCGTCGTCGTAGTCGTCATGGTCGTCGCCATTGTGTCCTCGGAGCCGCGTTCTCTCGAGCGTTTCGGCACCCTGCCGTATCTCACGGCTGCAAAGAGACGCGTGAAATCGCTCAGAGGACCGCTCGGAATATATTACACTGCATGTTGACGTTCTTCTCTATTTATATAAGAATAATTACTAAAATAGCTGAAGAGATAAAGTTTTCTCTAAAATTAACTTGAATATTTACATTCATATATTTTAAGTAGATTTTTGGTTTTCATGGAGCTCCTAATTTATATATGTATATATTATATATAAACGCCGTAGAGCACGTCTCGAAATATTTTGCGTCAAAACTTGGAACATTTCTGTAACTTGAGTTCCCAGGATTCTAATGAAAGTCATCCCGTTGCGCTTCGGTAGATTATATCCGACGAAGCGAGTCGCGAGTCTACTCGAGAGCTTGTTACAATTTCGCTTGCGATACGTGACACGATGATGAAGCAGCACTTGCAGATCGTACGTACATCGGTATTGCGTTCTACAACTCTCACGTTTAATTATGTACGCCTGCCCTTTGGTTTACTTTGCTCTCTAGCCGTGGGCAGTAAGTAAATTTTGCATCCCCGACGGTCAGGAAGAGCTTTGCGATTTCGAAGGATTCTGTTTGAATTTCTAATAGTGACGTAAATTTGCAACCTGATTCTGATATGCGCGCGAGAAATCAATGTTACTCCGCAGTTATACTACAAACTGATAAATTATTGTGTGAGCTTTATCTAAGTATCTTTTTTTAGCTGTTATATATTGCTTTTAAGATTGTAGAAAAAGATTTGTTCTATTGTCGATTTATAAATTCCACGAAATATTTTATGACACGCGACGCAATAAAAGATAATAGTTAAATATGTTAGATTTACTTCTTTATTTATTTATCCAATATGATATTTGCTTATATTAGAACTTCGATATAAATTAAATTAAATATACGATAATATCGTGTTTGGCGTGTTTCCTCAATATTAATACATCCGAGAGAGTTTATCGATTTCGTTTAAAAAGCGGCTGAAAAAAAAATTCACCAAACGCAATACTCACAGTCTCTGGACATGCCGACGGCTAGGCACTTCTTGAATCTGCAGTACTGGCAACGGTTCCGATTTAATCTGATGACAAGACACTTGCCGTCTCTCAAGCACCTGTACTCTATCTGCTTCTGTATGCTCCTTCTGAAGAAGCCCTGAACAGGAAGTAAGGAAGCGCTATTAATAACGATCTCATAGACCGTCGCGGGGTTAATTATATCCCCCGCGCGTTATAAAATACGGCACTTCTGTGCCCTTCTTTGTAACGCTGGGAGTTCAGGAAAAGCGAGAAAGGTAACGGAAAAACGTGTTCATGAGAAAAGCGAGTTCTTTGTACGCACCATCGCATATTTTCCCTTTAAAAGAAAAATTCCTTCTCATTATACTTGTGTCGTAATTTGTCGTATATAATTTGCACGTAATTAATATCACTTTAAGTGACAACAATATAAAAAACAAGTTGTGTGCGAGTAAGTTCCACGCCGGATCATTTTTGTGTAATTTTCCATCTACGAGAGCCACGCGTTGTAGAATTTACAATATACATTTACACTATATATAATTTATGTGACACGAAACGAGCCGTGTTAAATTTTGTGAACAGAATAGGTAGTTGTCACATCTGGTTTTTTCCAAATTAATTTATGTATACTACGTCGATAAATTAAACTAAAAGGTATTAAAAAGTTTTTTAAAAATTCAGAATTTGGCAAGATATAAACTACACTCCGATGTAAAAATAACTGTTGTGCTATATATATATATATAATATATAATTTGTAGTTTATATATATTTATATGTGTGTATAAACTTGCATATATTTATAGTTTATATGTATATTCTGGAATACTCTTTTATAACTCGCGCGATTCTCGATAATTATAGAATAACCTGCTTTATTTTTTATACATTCGCTATTATATATATATATATATATTACATGTACGGAGCTGTCGGAACTGAAACGTCACAGTAACGAAAAGCTCAGACAAAAGTAACGAAATAACTCGGAAGTACGTAGATGAATTACGAGCGACCGCGGAAAGCATCGGTTTATTGGATTACTACCACAGATGCTAATACATAGGTGCTAATTGAGAGAAGGCATTCATAACGGCGTATAACAATGCTGACGCGCATCTAGCATTCGATATCCTGAAATTCCCGATGGGCCGACTATTCGGTAACTGTGTAACTGTCGATAATATTACTGGTAACCGATGCGATGGCGCACGCGGCCTCAGCTTGTTTCTAAAATCGATACGTCAACTCGCATCCGTTTCTGTTTGTCTTCGTCAGTCGCATAACGGAAAAGTAATCAGTCGTACGCGTACAACTCCATTCTGACAGATCAGAATTATAAAGCGAGATTATATACGCACAGGCTTTTGGAACGACGAACAGAGAAAGAATGACGCTAATTAGCAACAATTAATCGGCCGGGTATAGTTTAGTCGACTAAAAAGTAATAATAAATGTTTTTTTTTTTTTTTCGATAACATTTTTCGCGCAAACAAAATATTTCTAAGATGTGTGATCGCGCAATGACAAGTAATTAAAAACTCGAATGACACTGAACAACAATGATTGACGTTACGTGAGAAAATTTTGCGAGCAGCGAACAATTCGAATCAGTGGTGAAACCGCACATTGACCAAGTCAGTAGAAAAATGTCGTGCGTGTCAGACAAAATGCAACGGCGCGCCGCGTAGTAGTAATAACCCGTGCGTGGTCGGACATGTTATTCTCGTACGTGTGTATACACACCCGTACACTCTCGTGTACTACACAATAGAAACCCGTTTCATTGATTCTAATCGCAATTTACAGGGAAGCACATACAATTTATATTAATGTGTACACATACTCACAATATTATTGTGTGCTGTTATATACGCATATATATATATGATAGTTTATATTATATTATTACATGTAAAAAATATCTATTAAACAAAATATAAAATATCTATTGTATGTAATATTCTAAAACAACAACTCACAGTGAGTAAAATATTAAAAACGGGTCGAAGCGTATTCTTTTCATTGGAGGATTTTTGATAAATCGCGCTTTAAAAATACAAACAATGAGTAACAAAAGCCATTTTCCATTAGATTCAGACAAAATCACACAGCGCGCGCGCGCGTGCGTGTGTGTGCTCACGGCCAGTGAACGCGTCTGCGTGCATTAGCCCGCAGAACTCGCTGTTAGCGCGAATGCACCACTTCACCGTTAACTCTGGCCTTAGGGCTTCCGCGTTTGAAATCTCGCAATGCGTGCTGTGCAGCGCACACACACACACTGAGAGTTGGCGGCGAACGTGCGTCTCTCTCACGATAGATTTAAGACGCGCGCACCGATAAATATCCTGTCCCGTGAAGATCCGTTTCGCGGATTATTATAACGCAATCGTCATGCATCCTTGCGGATCGAAATAGTAAATATATTGTACTTCGCAAACGATGGAGGTCAAATCTATCGGCGAATATCCTGCTGAGCAGATATATCGGGTTTGCTTGGCGTGCGAATCGATTTTACACGAACACGCTGTTACTAATATCGTATCTTAATTTCGCGCGTGACAGGTTTCCTTCTGTCGCTTATCGTGACAGAAAGTTCTGTCCTGTGAAAATTGAAGGTTTCGATTATGTCTTTCGAAGTTGAAACGTCGATAATAATCAAAATTGAATCGCATCACACCGATCGCGTTATTCAGATTTAAATATAACTGTCAAATGATAGTTTTCTCAATCATCTGCGAGCAAATCGTTGATGTGAAACCGAAAATTGCGAACAAGATTGACACAAGTGGAGCAAATTTGTTACAGAAGAGATTTTGTTTTACGATAATTATATATAAAATTTAATGTTACATCATCTAAATGTGCAATTTGCGAGCTATAACGCGCGCCTCAAACCCGGAAGCAACCGGTTTCAACTTGAGTCTTCGTTCGTGAAAAGGATCCTCGATATACGATACCTACTTTGCAACCCTCGCAGCTGGTAACGCCGTAATGATAGCCGCTCGCCTTATCGCCGCAGACTTTGCAGGGAACGAAGCTCTTGGCGGGCGTCGTGCTGTTGGAATCAGCTGCCGCGTAATGTTGCTCTGTAAAAAAAAAACGAAAGAAAACATTAGCCGCTGTTATTAATCAATGCTCGTGCGCGAAGTTATTTTCTTTTTTCGAAAAAAATCAAATTTAAATGAATATGAAATATAACAAAATACTCTATTGAATGTTCGTGTTTACTTATTTTTACATATCTTGTACATATATAAACATTTGTATATGTAATATTGTTGAAAACGCGCCTTCAATTTACACAACTACACTAAAGATAGTTTTTTGTTTGTCGGTTCGACGACAGGGTTTAAATAAACGATTCGAGCTCCGGAGATTAAAATTGTACAATTTATTTAACAATTAAACCGAACGCGGACCGAATGTTCTCTTGTGAGTTCAAAGTTCCATCGTGAGACAAGCTGGTGTTCCGTTCGCTCCCGTGTGCTCGTATCATACAGTGAGGAACAATCGACAACGTGTCGCAGAGTCGTCACTTTCGGGTAACGATCTTTTGTTTGCGACCAATATGTTTAGACGCGTGTCTCCAGTCAATGGGGACGTGCGACACCCCAGGCATCTGTTTTTCCATCAATTCAAACTTATTTGTCTGCGAACGATCATTATAATAAATAACAATATATTGTATTCAAACGGAACTATATCAGTTTTGAGAACATTGGAGAAAAAAATAAAAATATCAAAAATACAATAATTTAAACTTTCTCAAACAAATATACATATTGCAGAATGCGTGTCAACACAGTTTTATATATTCAGAGAACTGAATATATAAAACTATATATATTTAATCCAAAATATGACGGAGATATTCATATATTTATAAAAATACACATGAAAAACACAATATTGTACCTGTTCAGTTTTTATATTTGCGACCCATAACGCTCCTTTAACCTTTTTAGAGGGTCAGCCTAGCCACTATAAGGATTATAAATCTGCACGATAACTTTATATAAGGACATATACATACGTTATATATGTTGTCTGTATATTTTTTGGGTGTCAAATATATGAGACTTCAAAAAAAGAATACCGGTTCTCTAAGGTTAATGCGTAAATAAAGGACTCGTAGAAGTTTTTCTGTTTCTCACAGCACTATATAGGTCACACAGCCGTCAGCAAAATGGCAGCATATTTCGTTCATATAGATGCTCGGCATTCATAATACACAACAACGAAGCTCGCTTTTCTCGTGGAAGGGAATAGACCGCTGCTGCGTTCGTTCGATCGTTCGGGCGGTTCACGCGTAACGGGAAGCTGGCGTCACCGTTACGAGAAGAGAGCAGAAGAAGCAGAAGAAGCAGAAGAAGCAGAAGAGGCAGAAGAAGCAGAAGAAGACGAAGAGGAAGACGAAGAAGACGAAGAAGACGAAGAAGAAGAAGAAGAAGAAGAAGGCGCAGCAGCAGCAGCAGTACCTAACTAGACAAAGTAATAGTAGGAGATGGGGAAAAAGGAAACAGTGTGGAACAGGGAAGAAATGAAAAAGGAGCGGCAAAAAAAAAGAGAACGAAACACGAATGCCGCTGGCAAAGGAAGAGAAGGGAAGCCCCGTATATAGGAGAGATCGTAGTTTGCGACGTTGTATGTACCGTTGCACTCATTCGCGAAATCCCTGCCAGAAGATGTCGTTGCCTGCGCCCGAAGAAGGCGAGACGAGAAAACGATGGAAGACAGAACTGGGTGATTCTGATCCGACAGCGACCGGCTTGTGTTTGCGCGCGATCTGATTTTATGACGGCCGTAGAAGAGAGACCGTCGGAACGGTACCGCGCGCTCGCTCGGTTCTTCCTCGCAGCGACCATCGCGAGGACAATCAGGAGAGAGCAAGCCCGTTACACCGCTCGTAACTCGCGCCTTATTGCGTCTTTACTATTTTTCCGACAACAATGTTGGAAAATTCGCCAACGTGCGAATTGCGCGCGTTTCGCAGAATTGTTTTTAATTTCTCGATATCGGTATAATTGTTTCTTTTTATTGTCAAATATTTTTGTTAATTTGTGTGCATCGATTAAGTTGCTGACGATAATAAATTGAAACGCGTCGCGCGCAAAACTTGCGACACGCACCGCACATTTAATAATCTTTAACAAGAATTTTTAATACAAATTAAGCAGATTTTGCTTCATTGTGTTACTTGCAGATCGTTTCCGATCCCAGATATAAACGTGCAAGCGCGAGAGAAAAAGTTTGCAACTAAAGAGTTTGGAAGTTGACGCTTTCATACAGAAGCTTTCATCTCTGATGCTACGTTAACTTTATTAGAGCGTGGAAAATATATAGGTAGATCGACGAAGTGCAATAGCACTTCGCTGATTAAATTTTTCTCTACATCACATTTCTTCCTTTATCACGCCGATCAATTTAACAATATCAAAGATACATGTGTAAGCACGCTGTTTTGTTACAAAAAAAGGATAAATTGGAAAAATTGATTGGCAACAATTGTAAGTTTGAAATTAAATTTTCGGAGTAAAAAACTCTGTCCAAGTTTATCTTTTCAATATATATATAAAAAAAAAAAAAAAATAGATTTCATATTCTATTATTGAAACGTGATTATCGATATCGTCGGAAAATAAGCTTCTCGAATTTAGTTTCTCGAAAACTACACAAAAACGTAATGGCTCTATTCGTTCTCTATATCAGTCGAATGATAACTCACAATCATCTTTTTTCTTTATTCAACAGTATCGAGATTATTTATCCGCCGATGTATAAAGCGGGCGGGGGGGCAGATTTCTATTTCACATAATCGCTGCAATTTGTATCTCCAAACGATATATAGATTCGCGACAACGTAACATTGCATCGCGTCCGGTCTCTTTCAAAACGACCAGACGCTATAATCCATCAGCCTGCTAATAAATCGATTACGCTATATCCGTGCGGGGCTGCTCTGCTTGCCTTTGTTCGGAAATCAACGGCGCGGCAAATGCACCGAAAGCGCTGCGCGTGTTCGAGTAAACGGCGCGATGCGACGCTAACGATGTTATCGCGCTTAACAATATCGCTAACCGATTGCAACCCGTTTCGGCAGTATATTTATCGCGGCGCGCAGTCCAGCTTCATAATAAACACAATTAAATCTGGATCGGCCATTTGTTCGACGAATAACAATTGTTTTGATACTTATATATATATCTGTCGACTGACAAACATGACGAAATGATCGTAACGGAAAAATTTACGAATCGGGGTTTTTTTTTCACAGTGGTGCTGTGTGAAATAACACTGTCGTTCGCGTAAATTGCGATCGCGATCGAGCTCGAGATGTAACTGTCGAGAGAGAAGCCGCGCGATGTCAGGTGTCAAATCTCAATTTACGCTGCGGAAACGCGGCGCAGTTTTGCTCTTCGTTATCGCAAGTGCGAATCTACGTGTATCTTTCTGAACAAGCCGATGGAGCACCCCATTGTCGGTGAGCACTGGCGCGTGTTGAACACGACGCCGGACGCTCCGGAAGAAAGCGGAATCCCGCTGCTTTCCCGAGAGAAAAACAGAAAACGCGCCAATTATTCGCCTTGCATATTTGGCCGAGCAGAACAATGCGATTTAACTTGATTTCCTTGACTTTGAGAAATGGACGAAAGTTCGCAAAGTCTTATATAAAAGGAAATCTGCTAATTATATAAATAACAATGTGTTTTGGCACAAGAAAAAATATTGTATCTGTTTTGTATATCAAATTTTGCTCGATCATACGCGAGCCGTTATATATATGCTTGTGACAAAATTAAAATACATACGGCATTATTGCCGTAAATGAGAGCGGTAATATCATTATGCTAAACCGCCCGGCTATTCGGCCTGACATCCGCGGGCGCGCGCGCGCGCTCGTAAGTTTTAATTGTTGCATTAATACGCGAACATACAATCCCCAAATTAGCGAGATACAATTTCCCGTCGCCTAAAATGATTTCGGCAGTCCGGTCCGATTGTGCCGTTAATTAATTAAATATCTCGTAACAAAGCGACACGATAATTAATTTGTCAATTTTATGTATCGACTCACTCGTGAAATCGCGCATCTCTCTCGCTGTATACGAGCTGATCAGAATCTAATTGGCCGAATTTTTTGACAATCGATCATTTTCATCACAATCGACTATTTTCCAATAGCTGTTCTAGTTTATTAGATTTTCTAGATGAACAAAAAACATGTGCGCGCGTCGTTATTACATTTTTGTCTAAATGTCTGATTTGATTTCATCATTATTCACAAAAGCTATCTATTTTTCAATATAACATCTAACGACATATCAATAACATTGAGCGAGGATGATACAAACGGACGATTACGACGTAACTCTTCCACGTCGCGACGAGTGGCGCGTGCAATTGCGAACGCGCGTTACTCGCGGCTGCACGGCCTCGACCTAGGCTGCAATTGCATGGCGCCCCTTGTTTACAAGGAAGCGCTGCGCGTCGCATACATTTGCGCCTGGGTCACAGCATTCGTATTCCAACTCGCGCGTCCAAGCGTCCGTCCGCGTTGTCGTGTCGAAGTGCAGTGTGCGAGTGTGCTTCTAGTGTCGATACGTGATGGCATCCCGACGCGGTGCACTGTGCCAGGGCGAGGCTCTCACCACGTAAGACAATGGGCTTTTAGCGAGCGAGAGATATACAATTCGCGTTGAGTGTAGCAACCATTTTGCCGGCACCAACCCGACAAAAATGCTAAAATATAATGGACGTTCGTATTAAGCCGAGTTTTTTTCTTTTTTTTATCTTGAAATTAAATGGAGCTGAAGTGGATTAAAAAATGTTAATACTTGAATTTAATTCTATGTAATTTTTGTAAATTGTTCTTATTTTATTTAGTATGAAAAGTTTGAACAAATAATCAAAAAGTATATATATATAGAACAAACTAACCCAACAAAGAGAAAATAAAACACCAGAGAATTTACAAGACTGGACCATTTTTATTACATCGAGAAAGAAAGAGAGAGAAAGAAAGAAAGAGGGAGGTTTGTCCGTCCTCACACATAGTTTGACGGTTATTCAATTTAATATCGTATAT